TTACTTTGGGTTAGATTGGGGGAGTTGGGCTAGTTTCGGTAAGACTGGGGGAGTTGGGCTAGTTTGGGTAAGATTGGGGGAGTTGGGCTAGTTCGGGTAAGAGTGCATGAGTTGGGCTAGTTTGAGTAAGAGTGGGGGAGTTGGGCTAATTTGCGTAAGACTGTGCGAGTTGGGCTAGTTTGAGTAAGAGTGGGGGAGTTCGGCTAGTTTGCGTAAGAGTGAGGGAGTTGGATTGGTTTGGGTAAGAGTGAGGGAGTGGGGCAAGTTGATAGCTTGATAGTCACCTCCTTTGTCTGTAATATTCTATAATAGTGTGTGATTATTACCATGAACTGGTTGTGCAAGTGATGTTAAACGATCTGGAGTGACAAATCCTCACTGTATGTGTCTTCCGAATCTCGTCATGTGAGAAGTTAGTGGCATTGTTGGCTCCTCTTTTTTCATGCCTTGCATATTACTATGCCATCAGTACATTGCATGGTCAAGTTATGTGTTGTAATCTCTGTGACTGTTGTGTTTGGAATATTACAGTTACCCTATAATTGGGGAATCAGAAGATTGTGGGTTGAAGCCCCACATTCTAGGGCTGACACTCCAGTGCAGTGCTTGAAGGGGCACCACATTATCGAAGGCACTGTCCTTTGGATGAGACATCACTCTCTCCTTCTTTGTGCTCTGTTCAGCCAGACACTAAACATCTTGCATGATGCTTTGGGGAAGGGAGTTTCTTTTTTCTCTTGGTATTCTGGCTGACACTTCACATCTATCTGCAGCGCATCGAAAAGTGTAATAGGCTTCTACCCACTAAACACACAATCACTACACTTTACAGTACATCCTCCCAATGTGAAAGTCTCTAAATCAAATGTAAGGATTGTAATTATTTACCTCTTACCTAGCATCTGTTTACCTAGCAGTCAATAGGAACCTGTTTGTTAGTTGATTAGTGGATAACTTCTGGGAGTAAAAATCGCTCAAAATAAAATTGGTCACTCAATCCACGACTGTCTGTGGGATACTGCTGTGTGCAATTGGCTACCGAGTTCCACCCACAAAATATCCAGTCACTGCACTTTACACTATATTCTGTGAAGCAGTCTATTCACTTTACAATGTAAAGATGATAAGGCTCTATATCAAATGCAAAGATTATTATTATACAAGTATTATCAACTCTCCTCAAACCTAACCCGTTACATCCAAACCTCTTTGTTTTGTACTTTTTTCTGTTTTCAGGGCTTCAGGTCAGTGGAGGTGACAGAGCAAATTGCTCCAGAAAATTTGAAACAACTTCCGGTAGGATTATTACTGACTCCATAACTATTTTGCCACATGTTTAAAAATTCCACCTCTTATACCTTGAAGTTTCTGTGTCACAAACCATCTGCCCTTTAAGGTTCTGTTTCTGAAAGATATGTTTGCTGAGATTATTCGATTGTAACTTATTTTTCTTAAATCTTTGTAATTGCTGGATTAGTGTCCTGGCTGACAATCCCGCAAATAAAATTGCATCCGTGAGTTTTTCCACAAATATCCTTCTACTTGAATGGTGCTATATCAAATGTAAGACCACGGATGCACTCAACGCCCCGGATCTGTACATTATCTCTGAATATTATATGTAGGATTGTGAACTCTGGTATTCTGGAAGGGAATGATAGCTATCATGAAATTAGACACCGTTTATCTTATGGTAGCATCATAAGTTCATCGTGATGTCCTTAAATCCTGAGAATTCTCTCTTGATTTTTCTCCTGGTTTGCTCACAGTGGTATCCAGGAGACTTACCTTTTAATCGTAGATTCCAGAACAATCCGGGAGGGTTGCACCTTGTATGTCAGTAACGCACAGTGAGTGTGTATGTACGTGTGTTACTGTGCATTACTGGCATATGCAAGTTAGCTTGCAGTTACTATCAGTACCACATGGTGAGGGGTGCGTGTATAAGCAACGATTTGCATTTGTGTAGTGCTCTTCAAGCAGGGTAGTGTCTCGGTGAGCTTGCATGCTTGCTTGCTAAGTCAGGACGGAGGTATTTAGAGTGAGAGAGTAACCTAAGTACTTTGATTATAGGTATCTGGCAGGCTGCGACAGAGGAGTGGGGAACAGACGACTGGAATGAAGATGTAGGTAGCTAAATGTTAAAAATTCTGTGTGGCTGTGTGTGTGGGGGGTGGGGAAGAGAAGAATCTCAAAAAAATGGCTGACTGCATGCATCAAAGTCCGCAGGAGTTGGATGGCAAAGCTCTGAGCTCCTTGGCTATAAGCTGTATGTTTCGTATTGACCCGCAAGGCACCTTGCTGTTTTGATGTCTCTTCTTACCTTATTTACCCCACCACCCAAACTCTTTCCCTTTGTGTCCCACTTTACACATTATTTCTCCAGCAGTCCCCTCTTCCGTAATTCATGACAACGGCTTTGTGGACCAAAGTTTTAAACTCCAATCCCCGCAGCTGGAGTTTTCCTCCCCATTAGATCCCATGCCGTGCTCCCTTCACAGGCTGCTGGTCACAACAACAAGATTCCATTTATAAAGCGCCTTTCACGTCAGGAGGACGTCCCAAGGCGCTGCACAGTTGGGTCATCATCCGAGCAGGGGGCGAAATGTCAGGGTGAGGGGAGGGAAGGGAGGGAGTGAGGAAGGGGGAAATGGTCAGGATGAGGGGAGGGAAGGGAGGGAGCGAGGAGGGGGAAGAGAGTCGAGAGGGGAGCTGAAGGCTCGGTCAAAGAGAAAGGTTTTGAGACCGGCCTTGAAGGAGGAGAGGGAGGAAGCAAGGCGAAGGCACTGGGGATGGAGTTCCAGAGCCTAGGGGCTGAGAGGCTGAAGGCCACCGATGGTAGGGCGGTTGGGGCGGGGGACGTGGAGCAGACCGGAGCCGGAGGAACGGAGGGTACGGGTAGGTAGGGTGATAGTAGGTTGGAGAGGTAGGAGGGAGCAAGGCCGTGAATGGCCTTCTAGGTGAGGATGAGGATCTTGAAATCAATCCTCTGGGGGATGGGGAGCCAGTGGAGGCTCAGTCACAGGTGGTGTCTGCAGTTTAAACTCTTATGTTGGGAAAGGGAGAGAAAGGGGGCAGTGAGTCCTTAATTCCTGCTTCTTCCACACCCCACCATCCCACTACACTATAGGTATTGAGTCCTGCATCTATCTATCTGTCTGTCTGATTTGGTGATCACCCGGGGCCTCAGTGTCTCGGATGTCACCATTACCGATAAGGCTGTCTCCGATCACCACTTTTCATCTCCTTCACCACCTCCACCCCCTCCCCACCTCCACCAGACCCACCACCATCTTCTACCGCCCTGGAAGAAGTTACCCCCACAATCCCTAACCGCTGCCTTGGAGTCCTCTGAACTCCTCTCCCTCTGGCCTTCAACCCTCACTGACCCCTCTTCTGCTCTCACCCTCCTCCACAACACCCTCTCCTCCACACTCGACACTCTTGCCCCCATCACCTCCCGTACTGTCTCCTACTCTCGCTCCTCCCCCTGGTTCACCACCCACCTCCGCTCACTGAAGAGCCAGGTGCGGGCCGCTGAACGCACCTGTCAAATCTGGCCTAACGGTCCACCGACAAATCTGGCTGGACCTCCTCAAAATCTACCGCTCCACTCTAGCCTCGGCCAAGTCGTCCTTCTACTCCAGGATAATCCTGGAGGCGAAGAACAACCCCAGGCTACTGTTTTCTACCACATCCCGACTCCTCCGTCCCCCCGCCACCCCGCGCAGGTCATCTCCTCCAACCTTCACTGCGAGGAGATGCTGGATTTCCTTGAATCCAAATCAAGGGAATCCGCTCCGCGGTCACTTCCCCTCCAACTTCCACCCACCCCCACCCCTTCCCTCCCACACTCCGACTCCTACCCATCCTCCCCTACACACCTTCGTACCCGTTTCCCCACCCTCTGTCACCAAACTCATCCTATCCCTGAAACCACCACCTGCTCCCTTGACCCCATCCCCACTCCACTCCTTATCTCCCAGCTCCACCTCCTTGCCTCACATATCACAGACATCAACCTGTCCCTCTCCTCTGGCTCTATTCCCATTCCCTTAAAAACTGCCACCATCACTCCCACCTTGAAAAAACCCTCCCTTGATGCGTCGCAGCTATCAAGCTACCGGCCCATCTCCAACCTCCCCTTCCTGTCCAAGGTCCTGGAAAGAGTTGTCGCCTCCCAGCTGCGCTCTTTCCTCTCCACCCATTCATTATTCGAACCCCTTCAGTCGGGTTTCCGTGCTGCCCATAGCACAGAAACTGCCCTGGTCAAGGTCACCAATGACATCCTGACCATCTGTGACCAGGGCTCCCTCTGCCTCCTCGTCCTCCTCGACCTATCGGCAGCATTCGATACGGTCGACCACGCTATCCTCCTCCACCGCTTGTCCTCCCACCTCAACCTTCAAGGCCCTGTCCTTGAGTGGTTTAGGTCGTACATCTCCCACCGTCTTCACTTTGTTTCCAAGGCTTTTCCTCCACCCCCGCACTGTCTCGTGCGTGTCCCTCAGGGCTCTGTCCTCGGTCCCCTCCTCTTCACCCTCTATATGCTCCCCCTTGGTGACATCATCCGCAGACATGGGGTTAACTTCCACATGTATGCGGATGACACCCAACTCTACCTTTCCTCCTCTACCCTCAACTCCACGACCACCGATGTCCTGACAGCTGCCTGTCCGACATCGAGTCCTGGACGAGAGACAACTTTCTTCAGCTCAACGTGCGCAAAACTGAGGCCCTCCTGATTGGCTCACGTCAGCGCCTCCGCACCTCAGGCGCTGACAGCATCAGCATCCAAGGCTGCACTCTCCACCTCTCAAAGCCAGTCAGGAACCTCGGGTTCTGTTCGACCCTGAGCTGTCCTTTCTCCCTCACATCCGCGCCACAACTGGCACCGCCTTCCATCACCTCCGGAACATCGCCAGACTACGGCACTACCTCACCCCTCACGCTGCTGAAACCTGGTCCACGCCTTTATCACCTCAAGGCTGGACTATGGGAACTCTCTCCTCGCCGGCCTTCCCGGCACCTCCCTCCACAAGCTGCAGGTCATTCAGAACTCTGCAGCTCGTGTACTGTCCCGCACCAGGCCGGACCACATCACTCCCACCCTCGCTCGCCTCCACTGGCTCCCCATCCCCCAGAGGATCGAATTCAAGATCCTCATCCTCACCTACAAGGCCATTCACGGCCTTGCTCCCTCCTACCTCTCCAACCTACTATCCCCCTACCTACCTGCCCGTACCCTCCGTTCCTCTGGCTCCGGTCTGCTCCACATCCCCGCCCCAACCGCCCTACCATCGGTGGCCGGGCCTTCAGCCTCTCAGCCCCGAGGCTCTGGAACTCCATCCCCAGTGCCTTCGCCGCTTCCTCCCTTTCCTCCTTCAAGGCCGGTCTCAAGACCTTTCTCTTTGACCGTGCCTTCAGCTCCCCTCTCGACTCTCTACCCCCTCCTCGCTCCCTCCCTTCCCTCACCCTGACCATTTCCCCCCTCCTCGCTCCCTCCCTTCCCTCCCCTCACCCTGACCATTTCCCCCTGCTCGCTCCCTCCCTTCCCTCCCCTCACCCTGACCATTTCCCCAATGCTCAGGTCCTGACCCAACTGTTAGCGCCTTGTGACGAACTCCCGACGTGAAAGGCGCTCTATAAATGGAATCTTGTTGTTCTTGTTGTCTGTCTTGTGTGTGTTTTTCCCTGTATCTGTCTGGGTCTGGATGTGTGTGCATATGTGTCTGTCTGGGTATGTGTGTGTGTGTGTCTGTGTCTATCTGGGTCTGTGTCTATGTCTGCCTGTCTGGATTGTTGTGTACGTATGTGTGTCTGGGCCTTTGTGTTTGTGTGTGTCTGTTTTTGTGTATGTGTGTGTCTCTCTAGGTTGATGTGTACGTATCTTGTTTCTTTGTGCCTGCCTGTTTGCCTATCTGTCTAGATATCCATCTCATCCTGTCTCCACTCTTGTACGGTCTGCCTCAAGATTTTCCTCTTTGACCCGCACCTTCGATCATCAGTTTTCCTCCACACTCCCTTCAACTATTATTATTATTTTTATTATTATAACTCCTCTCCGCAGCTCAGATGCCCAGCCAAGACTGACCAGCAACTTTGGATGTCCTCAAGACATGAAAGGCGCTGTGTCAATGACAATTTGTTTATGGAAATGGAAGTGAGAGAAAGAGGGGAGTTTCATGATCTGGCACATAGCATCACTAACTGCTGCTCTGTGTAGCTTGTTAGGAGCTTGGCTTGACTTTCTATCTGGTGCGTTTCTGTCCGTTTCTCTTGTTAGCCCCTGACCATTAGCTGTTAGCAGCCACTGACTGTTTTGCGGAGGTGAGCAGTCTGTTTTTTGTTGCCCTTGATGTCTGAAGAGTAACCCTGGTGCTGGCTGGAATGCAGAGGAGCCAGGAAGCCTCCTTATTGTCCATCATTACACCCCTCCTGCCCACAAAAAAATTACTCACGCTCAGTGGCAGGGGGAGGAGTGGGTATTGACCGTCAATGCACATGAAAGAAAGTGGAAAGCCTCCATCCGGTCTGTTCCCCCTCTTCTACCCAGCGCCCCCTCCCCACCCCACACCCTCTCCCTGTCTGTGTTAAGGTTCTAGCTGAGGGGAGAGACAGGTTGTGAGAGAGGTCGGGTGCTGCGTAGAAGCCTCCCACCTGTGCTGATGTTTGTAGTTTGCCCTGTATTTCAGCCAGCAATGGGTAGCTTCCTACCATCGGGCTGCAAACGGACTTCCCCTGCGGCAGTCAATGGCTGCTACCAGGTAAGAGGATGCTTTGCATCTGCAGCCTTGCTTCTCTCTCTCTCTCTCTCTCTCTCTCCATCTCCTGCTCTCATCCCGACTGCCCTCGAGTTCAATACAGCACATATTAGATCAGCTTTGCCCCACCTTTCCCCCCCACCCAAACCACCTCCCTGGGCTTTTTAGAACTCTGTCCTGGAAACTCCTGCTCCTCGCCTCTTTCCTCACCTACTTTCAAGATCTGAATTGACACCCAGTTCTGGTGCAATCACTTCCCAGCACTTTGGGACTTCCTCCCTACATAAAAGACGCCGTAACAATGTAATTTGCTGTTTGTAAGCAACCGGTTTTAAATTTTAAATGAGGGCCAGTCTCCTGGGCCCTAGTCCCCTTCCTGACAATCCTATTTGTCATTAAACACCCTCGCTCCTGAAATTGCCTTTACATCTCTATAAACTGTATCCTCTACCGCCTTCTGCCTTATAAAGTATTAATCTGGGTTTACTTTTTTGATCCCTATTAAAATGTTGTACACCTCTATGAGTTGTCTTCTAGCATGACTAGATTGTCGTAACTGTTGCTCGTAGCTCATTCCTCTTTAACACAGGATCATGCTGGTTGCTCTTCTCAGCACCGCCTTTAGGGTCAAGGCAGCCCCTTTTTGTGTCATTGAAATCAGTGACAAGTTTGGGTGTTGTAGAGGGATGAGATCAGACTGACCGAAGGGCCTTCATCCAAACCAATCTTTTTCTCTTTTCCAGTGTCCCGCAAATAAAAATTGGTCACTCTCTCCATGGCTGTTTACAGGACATTGCTGTTTACTCCAAAACAGTCACCAAATGTTGCCATATATGCTGTGAAGGGTTTGGGATGTCCTCCTGATGTCAACTTTGTTGAATGCAGGGATTATTATTAATTATTACACTAAACTCCTGATAATTCGAACCTGGCTCAATTTGTCACTACCTTTTAAGTCAGGGTGCCAAATGGCCCGAGGACATGTCCAACTTGCCAACTTCCGCTAACTCCCTCCTTCCCCGATAAACATCTACCCAGGACAGACAATTATCTCCTCCAGGAGAACTGAGGAGAGACCCCGAGTGATGTGCCATGCACTTTCCTCACAGAAAACTCCCTCTTTCTCCAGTGAGAAACTACTACTCAAGGCCCTTCATTCTACATTCCCCCCTCCCCTCCCCCCAACACCACCTACTACTGTAACCTCCTAACTGAGCCGTTCCCTTTGCTTAACCCTCACCAGCTTGCTTCATGTCCCCCCGCCAGATTTGCCCATCATTTCCATTTGCCTCCGCTCTCTGAAGCTCTGTTTCTGTAGTTCTCCAGATTCGATCATTCTCTCTCTTCTTTCAAGCCACATCAACACCTAACATTTTGACCACACTTTCAGTCATCTTTTCCCTTTCCCATCTCACACTCGACTAAGCACCGACCCCCAGCTCAGCTACACAGCTAGCAGTGTCAAGCACTTTGAGATGTTTTTCTGACATGAAAAAAGCGCTGTGTAAATGTTGTTATGTTTCTGGAGGGAAACACAAAAATATAACTTTTGTGGCCTTCGGACATTTCTTAAATAGGGCATCCGGCCCTCAGCAGCCAAAAAACCTTGCACACCCCCACACCCCCCGGTTAGAATGTCAGGATGAAATGACAATCCGATCCAGTGTTGAAGCGCCCTGCATTGTCAGGGGTGCTGTCCTTCGGATGAGACATTAAACTGAGGTCCTTGGGGTGTTCCCCGCGTACTGCACTAGAACATCAGCCAAGACTGTGAACTCAGCCAAAACTTTGCCTCCCCTGGTCTAAATCATCAAGCTATCAATATCCTGGCAGAATGTATTTAATCAGAGTGAATAGTTATCAGGAGTTTACTATAATTATACACAAGTCCAATTCCCCCTCCTACTCATTAGTCAGTTTTTTCTCTCAGAGTGACTACTTATCAGCAGTTTACTGTATTTTTAATCCTATCATGCCTGAAAGTCACTATATTAATGCAAGTTGTTTTTGTTCTTGTTTGATCTGTGCTTCTTGCTGAGATTTAATCCTGATTTTCTCTACGCCAGCTCTCGGAGACAAAGATTTTTACCTCCTCCAATGTTGGCTCCCTTCCTCTTGAAAACAAGACTGTAACCATCACAGCAGGGCAAAGGTTGGTAAGGCACTGGGTTCGTAATAACTGTTTTCAAGCCACAAGACATCCGGGAAGAGAGAAACTCCCTTCTCTCTTCCCCACACAGCACAGCCCATAAAATCCTTTAATGTTCACCCAAACAGGCAGATGGAAGCTAGGCACTAGATTGAAATATCGGCTTGGATTGGGAGCTCAAAATGCCAGCTGGCATTCTGTTAAAATATCACTTGATTCATGGTTGTTTGTAGGAACATCACTGTACAAAAATTGGTTACAGTGATCGCTGGCAAAATGCTGACATGCCTTCAGCCACATTCCGACTCCCACCCTCCCTATTCTGCACCCCTCTGGACTCCAACTCCCACCCTCCCTATCCTCCACCCCTTTGGATCCAACTTGATTTGGATAGCTCTTTTGAAAGAGCGGCACAGACATAACAGGTCAAATATATAATGATATTATACATTATCCAGCTCAAGGGACATCTTTCAGACATTTATAAATCTATACTAATAAAACGACAATGTCTGTGTGTGTGTTTCGGCCAAGATCTCAATAACCAATTGACTTAGAGACATGATTTATACCTCTTCGGAAAGATTTTGCATAGGAGAGTGTCATGGCCATATTTTTTTCAGGGATCTCCTATTGTTGATGAGCTATATTTAAAATATACTTTAATTAAGTGCTAAATCTGTGGTATTTGTGGTATTCTGCAACAAAGTTGTGGCAGAGGAAATTAAATGCCTCTCTAGAGAGATACATTTATTAATATATTCTGTAACAAAGTAGCAACAGAAAAGCATGGGCATTTTGGGGGGAGAATATCCTATCATATAAAGTACTAGCTGTGTACCCATTGCAGCTTCACTTGCAACCAAAGGATCCCATATGGAATGTAGACACACAGTCGGGCACACCTATAAACATTTAATTTTGATCTATGCACAGCTGGGAGGATTCCTGTGCGGGGTCTCAGTGGGAGGACTTGGCGCTTTAAAAATGTAATTTTGTTGTTGCTGTGACTTAGCTTCGTCTGTTTTCTTTATTTTCTCTCATATTTTGGGGCTTATTTTTTAATATAGCTCATTAACCTTAGGAGGAAGATCCCCCAAAAAAATACGCCCATGACATTGTCAGCTACAAGAATGGAAAAACTAACAGAACTAAGAGAGGATAAAACTCCTGGTCCAGATGGATTGCATCCGCATATATTAAAAGAATCGAGGGAAGAGATACATAATATGGTAACTAGAGCACTGGAGGACAGATAATGTTATACCTATATTTAAAAAGGGCAATAGAACAAGCCCAGGGAACTACAGACCTGTCAGCTTAACATTGGGGGTAGGAAAGATAATGGAATCCTTACTGAAGGAGAAACTGAATAGAAAAACATCTAGAAATGGAAAACATAATAAAGAATAGTCAGCACGGATTTCAAAAAGGAAGGTCTTCCTGAGCAACCTTATTGAATTGTTTCAAGGGGTAGCAGAAAGAATAGACAAGGGTAATGCGGTAGATGTAATATATTTAGATTTCCAAAAGGCATTCAATAAGGTACGACATGATAGACTAATGAATAAGGATGTGCAGTCAAAGGAAAAATAGAATAGATGGCAAGCTTGCTGCATAACAGAAAACAGAGAGTAGGGTAAAGAGTAACTACTCAGACTAGCAGGGGGTGGATAGTGGTGTTCCACAAGGATCAGTATTGGGTCCACTGTTATTTACAATATACATTAATAATTTGGTTTCGGAAATCTGCAGTACAATTTCAAAATTTGTGGATGACACCAAATTACAGGGTGTAGTTAATACAGAGGATGACTGCAACAAGTTACACCAAGACATTAATAAACTTGCTGAGTGGGCATTTAAATGGCAAATGCATTTGAATGTAGAAAAGTGAGATGGTACATTTTGATAGACGGAATAAGGAAGTCACATAAATCCTGGAAAATAAAAACCTAAATGGGATAGAGGAGCAAAGGGATCTAGGGGTACACATACACAATTCACTAAAAGTAGCAACGCAGGTTAATAAGGCCACAAAAAAAAAAACCAGGCATTGGGGTTCATTTCTAGAGAGATGGAAATAAAAAGCAGGAAAGTTAAGGTAAACCTCTTTAGAACCTTGGTTAGACCAACTTTAGAATACTGTGTGCAGCTCTGGTCCTCACATTATGGGGACAAGGATGATCCCAGAACTGAGAGATTATACTTAGAAAGGCCTGAATATGCTTGGACTCTTCTCTTGAAAAGAGGAGGGTAAGGGGTGACCTGATAGAGGTCTTTAAAATGATGAAAGGTTTCGATAGGGTCAACATAGGAAAGATGTTTCCACTTGTGGGGCCATCAATATAAAATAGTCACCAATAGATTAAATAGGGAAGTTAGAAGAAATGTCTTCACGCAGAGTAGTGGGAATGTGGAACATGCTCCACAAGGAGCTGTTGAGGCAAATGACATAGATATATTTAAAGGAAAGCGAGAGAAGTACATGAGGGAGAAAGCAATAGAAGGTTAGGCTTGAAAGCTTAGTTGAGGAAGGGCAGGAGGAGGCTCGTGTGGAGCATAAACACTGGCGTAGACCAGTTGGGCCAAATGGCCTGTTTCTGTGCTATATTCTAATGTATTTTAATGTATGTATAATATAATTATATATTTGACCTGTTATGTCTGTGCCGCTCTTTCAAAAGAGCTATCCAAATCAATCCCACTCCCCCGCTCTCTCCTCATAGCCCTGATCAACCCCACTCCCACACTCTCTCCTCGTAACCCTATCAACCCCACTCCCTCCCCCCGCTCTCTCCCCATAGCCCTGATCAACCCCATTCCCCCGCTCTCTCCCCATAGCCCTGATTAACCCCACTCCCCCCCCCGCTCTCTCCCCATAGCCCTGATCAACCCCACTCCCCCACTCTCTCCCCATAGCCCCGATCAATCCCACTCCCCCGCTCTCTCCCCATAGCCCTGATTAACCCCACTCCCCCGCCTCTCCCCATAGCCCTGATCAACCCCACTCCCCCCCCCCCGCGCTCTCCCCATAGCCCTGATCAACCCCACTACTCCCCCCGATCTCTCCCCATAGCCCTGATCAACCCCACTACTCCCCCCGCTCTCTCCCCATAGCCCTGATCAACCCCACTCCCGCGCTCTCTCCCCATAGCCCTGATCAACCCCACTCCCCGCTCTCTCCCCATAGCCCTGATCAACCCCACTCCCCCGCTCTCTCCCCATAGCCCTGATCAACCCCACTCCCCCGCTCTCTTCCCATAGCCCTGATCAACCCCACTCCCCCGCTCTCTCCCCATAGCCCTGATCAACCCCACTCCCCCCGCTCTCTCCCCATAGCCCTGATCAACCCCACTACCCGCTCTCTCCCCATAGCCCTGATCAACCCCACTCCCCCGCTCTCTTCCCATAGCCCTGATCAACCCCACTCCCCCACTCTCTCCCCATAGCCCTGATCAACCCCACTACTCCCCCCGATCTCTCCCCATAGCCCTGATCAACCCCACTACTCCCCCCGCTCTCTCCCCATAGCCCTGATCAACCCCACTCCCCCGCTCTCTTCCCATAGCCCTGATCAACCCCACTACCCGCTCTCTCCCCATAGCCCTGATCAACCCCACTCCCCCGCTCTCTCCCCATAGCCCTGATCAACCCCACTCCCCCGCTCTCTCCCCATAGCCCTGATTAACCCCACTCCCCCGCTCTCTCCCCATAACCCTGCAAACTTGTCCTCCCAAAATAATTATCTACTTCTCTGTTAAAAATTGTTATGGAATCGGCTTCCACCGCCTTTCAGGCAATGCATTCCAGATCCCAACAATTCACTGTATGAGAACATTTCTCCTCACCCACCCCTCTGTTTCTTTTAACAACCATTTTAAATCAGTGTCCTCCGGTTACCAACCCACCTGCCAGCGGAAATAGTTTCTCCTTGTTCACTCTATCGAATCACTCATTATTTTGAAAACTTCTATGAAGTCTTCTCTTAATCTTTGCTCCAAGGAGAATAATCCCAGCTTCTTTAGACTCTCCTGATCTATTAGATTATTATTCTTTATAAAGTATAATAATCTAATGTAAACTATAATAATATATAAAGTATAATAATCTAATACCAAGTATAATAATCTTACATATGTATAATACTCTGGCATAAAGTATAACATAAAATATAATATAATTTTATGTATAATAGTGTATAAAGTATAATATAAAGTAAATAATATATAACGTATAATATAATATAATATAAGTATAATAATGTAATATAAACCATAACAATACTGAAATCGACATTCCATATTGGATCTTTTGGTTGCAAGTGTAGCTAAAATGGGTACAGCTAGTGATATATAAATGGCTTTAAATTCACTGCTGTTTGTGGGCATGTTGCTGTGCCTAAAATTGGTTGCTATGTTTACTTACAAAGTCACACAGTCACTGCGCTTTACTGTGAATCCTGTGAAACGCTTTGAGACATCCTCCTGGTGTGAAAGGTGCCGTGTCAAATATAAGGCTTCTTGTTATTCTAGGATTGACTTGGCCGTGTTGTTGGGGAAGCAGCCCACAGCCTCTGAGAATGACCCCACCTCCCTGGACACCACCAGCTCCTCCACCCTCTCCCAACCCCTGGTTTACAGCAACTCAAAGCAACGGTCCACAGCCCAGCCGTCCCCTCCCAGTGCCTTCCCTCAGCACAATATGGTAAATAATGTTGCTTTAGGGGAGAGGGGGAAGAGATACTGGGATGCTAGTTCCTGGTGTGGGTGAGGCACTTGCTTTGTGACACTGCAACCACAACAACAAAATGACATTTGTATAGCGCCTTTCACGTTGGGAGGATATCTCAAGATGCTGGACAGACTAAGAGTTTTGATCCAAGCTGGGGCTCGGGATCGGAGAGGATGGAGGGCAGGGAGGAATAACGATGGGATAACGGTGCTGGCCGGATGGAAAGGTTACATTCCATGAGCCGACGGGTCCTTTTCCATTTAACCCCTATTAAATTCGGGCCCCTTCCACCCCCTTTTCCAGTAGATTTTTCTCTCTCTTCCCCCCTTCCACCACCAACCCCACACAGTATATTCCTGAACCAGGTGAATCCACAGAATTCTAGGGCACTGCTTATGACAAGGCAGACCATCCCTGGGGCAGGAGTCATCCCACTCAGCTCCTGTTAACCCTGCAAGCCAATACGCTAACGGGGAGGGTGATCCCAGCTGGACAAGCAGCGGGAAAGCTGGCCAGTCAGCGCTCTCTCTCTCTCTCGCTCAATGACTAAGCTGCGTGGTTTGAGCTGGTCAGACTCCAGCGGTTAGCCCAACGCGCACTCTGGGATCCCCCCCACCCACCCCCAAGCCAACCTGCTCCTAATACTCACCGGAATTAGGTAAGCGGGATGCATTCCTCCAGAGAGAGAGTGAACATATCATTTGAGCAATCTATCTTTGGGATTTCCATGTGTAAGTGGGATGTGTGAAATTCGCAGCTTGGTTTGTAGACTCTTAAGCAACGGTGATGTGTCAGATATCGAGCTGACCAAAAATTATTTGGACCTTCCCCTTTTTTTTGAGAGAGTATATGACCTGGGAGTGTGGACACACAATGTAGAGGGAGCTTTACAGTATCTGTAACCCTGACCTAGGAGTGTGGACGGATGCACTGTGTAGAAGGAGCGTTACTGTGTCTAACCCTGACCTGGGAGTGTGGACGCAGAGTGTAGAGGGAGCTTTACTGTGTCTCTAACCCTGATCTGGGAGTGTGGACGCACAATGTAGAGGGAGCTTTACTGTGCCCATAACCCTGACCTGGGAATATGGACACAGAGTAAAGAGAGTAAGTGTTGATGTGAATGAAGTGAGTGAGCACGTGCATACGTGTGTGCGTGGGATTGAGGGAGGGAGGTAATGTGAAATGCTGATGGCTTGTGATGACCACTGCTTCCCCTGGCCACAGGTCAGCATGCTGGGGAAGAGCTTTGTTGAGGTGGGGGAGCCCAAGGCTGGCAGCAGTGCGGGCTCCCAGCTCCTAGAGCAGCTGAAAACAGCACAGGCCCTGGCACAGTTGACAGCACAGCACACGCAGCCCAGCAGCAAACCATCCTCCTCCTGGGACGTAGGGCCAACTTCACAACCGTCAGCACTCAGCCAGTTTGGTGAGACACTTCGATTCTTTAGCTTGTGTGTGTATTTTGGGGGTGGGGGTCGTTTGGGGTTCCTGTGCGTGTCCCGGATCCCCTTGGTATGTTTAAGGCCCACAGTCCTATAGCTCAGTGGTTAGAATGCTCTCCTCGCAAGTAAGAGGATTCGGGTTTGATTCCTGGGAAGGACAGGTCAAGGCGAAACCTTAGGCAACTTTCCTTATTTCACACACACACACACACCTTGGTTTACCAGTAGTAAGGAGGAACCTAGTTGTTAGTCAATTGGCGGATCACTTTCCGGGATGAAAATCCCTTCAATAAAAATTTAAGTAAATAAATAATAATTTGGTCACTCAATCCACAACTGTTGTGGGACACTGTTGTCTGCAATTGGCTGCTGCGTTTCATCCACACAATATGCATTCAGTACTTTTTGTAGTGTATCCTGTGAAGAGTTTTGAGACTTCTCGAAGACGTGATAAAGCGCGATATCAAATGCAAGGATTATCGTTGTTTGTGTTCAAATCCTATGTGGCCGCGCCCTCTTCACTACACCCCTACCATTCCTACCATTCGGCCTGCTTCTCACACTCATCCGCAGGATATCTGACCTATCCCATCTTCTGAGGACAAGCTTCCAGTCCTCCTGTAGTCCTTATAATAATAATAATCCTTGCATTTGATATAGCGCTTTTCACGTCGGGAGGACGTCCCAAAGCGCTTTACAGAACACACTGTAAAGTGAATTGACTGTATATTTGTGGGCGAACGCGGCAGCCAATTGCGCACAGCAAAGTCCCACAAACAGTCATAGATTGAAAATGACCGATTTATTATTGTTTTTAGTTTTTTTTTGGAGGGATTATTATTAGGCTCTGTGTGGAGTAAGGAAACTTGCCCAAGGAATTGAACTCAGGTCTCTCACTTGCAAAGCGAGTGCTCTAACCACTGAGGTACAGGACTCCACTTGGGAGGCTGTCAGCCAGGAAACCAGGGAACAGAGAGAAATTCCATTTTATTTTCAAGTAACCCTGCAGCAGAGATATTTAACATCCCCTTGAACAGTGTTCAACCATTTGGCGCTCTCTTTATCACACGGGTAAAGAGAAGGGAGTTCCTGTTTCCCAATGTTCTGTCTGGCAATCTCAATATTATTGTGCTCCAATTGGCTGTTGTATTTCGCCCACCAAATACACAATCATTACAACAAAAACAACTACAAATTAATTTACACAGTGCCTTTCACGTCATGAGGACATCCCAGAGCGCTGGATAGTGAGGGTTTTAGACCTCACTATCCAGGCATCAGGAGGAGGTGGAAGGTAGGGGAGTGTGGGATAACAGGGTGACCGAAGCCACGGTTGGTTGAAGAAGAGGCTCTTCAGATGGCGAGGGAGGGGGTAAGGCAGAGGGACTGTTGGATGGAGTTCCAGAGGGTGGGGGCAGAGAGACTGAAGGTCCGACTGCCAATGGTGGGATGTGCAAGGTGGCGGACATAGAGTAGGCCGGAGCCCGCTGAGGAAAGGGAGCGAGCAGGTTGATATTGTCTTAGCAGTGTATCCCATGAAGCCCTTTGAGAGATCTCGATGACATGATAGGGTGCTGAATCAAATACTAGGGTTGTTATTCTATTTATTATTCTGCCCGAGACAAATGTGTGCGCAACCAAGGTGACTGACAAGCGTGCTAATACACAATATGATCTTCCTGTGGCAGAGTTGAAATCCCAAGCGGACTCTTCAGTCCACAGTACCTTCAGCCAGCGAGGGCCATATGGAAACTCTGGCATGGCTGACCTCTTCATCCTTACAAAACAGCCGACGGCCGAGGCTCTCAACTCCCTCCCCAACAAACCCAGGGGCACTCAGATATCCCCAGGATCGTCAGAGAACCAGCCCTGCAGTCCCGGGCCTGCCCAGCAAAAGCTTAAACCCCCCAGGAAGAAGGTCTCTATTTCATCTAAGGTAGGTGGCATAGGTGGTGGGCGGGTGGCTGGAGCTTGAGTGACCAATTTATTATTTTTTTTAAAGGAATTATTACCCTGGGAAGCGACTAACAAGTAGGTTTTTACTTACCGCTAGGTAAAACGAGGTGTGTTGTTAGGGTATCGGACTCGTTTGCAACCAAGCCTGCACCCAGAAAATAAGTTCAATCTTGACAAACCAAAATGGTGGATTACAACAGTTTATTAAGCATTCAAATAATCTTGGTTATACGAAATTAATGCAACATAAAATAACAGAGCAACACTACCAACCCTTCTATAATCTGCCCTGGAGAGATCTCTAAAGACCACCCCTTAGCCCAACCTTATATACCTTTTGTTTCTTTTTTTGTATGGAGGGCCCCAACAGCCAGTTTGCACCAGTTTCAGTCTGCCTTATTTGGGCTTGTTTTTTACTATTCTATGTGCTTAATCTGAAAAACTTTATCTAAAACTAACAGAAGGAGGCCAATCAGGGCTGTATACAACTCCTTCTGGTTGTATATATTACATTTATACATTCCAACAGTGTGTGTGAATAAGGAAACTTGTCTAAGGTTTTGCCCTAACCCAGGAATTGAATCCGTTCCTATGTTATAGAATTCCAAAAGCTTACCATAAGGTAGAGGGGTTTTAAAGAGAGTATGTGTGTTTGTGTATATACATACAAAGAGGCATTTGGGAGAAGGGTGCTCATCAAGGAGAAGAATGCATAAACACAGGCATAATGAGCAGAGAGAAGGCAGGGAACAGGGTTAGAGTAGAGAGCTCAGGTGGGGAATGCTTTGTCCTATTATGCCACCGTTGGTAGCTGGAGGTTTTGCTTGTCTTGAAAATGAACCTTTTTCTCTGGCTGCAGATCCCAGCTAGTGCAGTGGAGATGCCAGGCTCCACAGACATCACAGGATTAAACCTGCAGTTTGGGGCCTTGCAGTTTGGATCAGAGCCTCTGCTGTCAGATTATGAATCAGCCCCAGCAACTAGAGTGTCAGTCCATCTGACACAGAGCAGCCTCTACACCAGTGCTGTCAGGTATGTTGGTTTTTTATTCTCGATTACATATCTGTGTGTCAGCCTGGCTTCCAGTGTCACTTTTGAGTCAAAGGTTGGTTGAAGACCTGTATTGGGTCAAACAATAGTATTGGAAGCCAAACAGTAGTCCAGAAGGCTGCATCTGACGGATGATTTCATCTGGCCAGAGACCATTTCCCAAAACCATTTCCCTCTCTCCCCAAGTGGCAGTTGGTTGGAAGGACAATCGAGGGAGTGGGAATAATACTTGCCTTTTCTCTGATGTGACAGGTCACTCCCCAGGTGATGGGCAAAGTGGGAATGGGAGATAAAGAGATGTGTGAGAGAGGGAGAGAGTATGTTTCACAGAGAGAGGGAGAAAGAATGATTGAGAGAGGGAGAGAACAGAGAAAGAAAAAGAGAGAAAGTGTGATGGAGAGAGAGTGTGAGGGGGAGAGAGAGAATGATTAAGAGAAAGAGAGAGAAGAGTGATAGAGAGATATAGAGAGCATGAGAGATAGTGGGAGAAAGAAAAAAATGAGAGAGCAAAGAGGGGGAAAGTGAGGTGTTTTGTGGTTCACTGTCAGGACAGACAATCGTCTCCTGCAGGAGAACCGAGGAGAGACCCCGAGTGATGTGCCATGCACTTTCCGCACAGAAAATTCCCTCTTTCCCCAGTGAGAAGCTGAGCTCATAGTTCTATAGACTTAGAACCAACAGCATTTTGTCTGAGAGGTGTGAATGCGACAAACTGAACTAGACTGATCACTGGGTTGTACCGTGAGTGCAATAAGTGGTGGTTTAACTATCTTTTTCTCTCCTATAGTGAAACCTCTTCCACCATCTCCTCTAACCCAAGCCAGGATTTGGGGTACCAGCCCAGCTCTATCACCGCCTCTGTGTTCACAGTTCAGAGCAGTGCCCAGGGCACACAGTATGATCCAAGCTCCAGCCAAAAGGCTCCCTACTGCAACTCCCTATCCTCCTCACCACAGAAAGACATAACACAGGGCAAGGTAATACTTTACAACCATAACACAGGCCAAGGTTACGATTCCGCTTCCGTAACACAGCATAGTTACTGATCTCAGCCCGGGGGGTGGGTGTTGTGTGCTGTCCCCATGCCATGCAGTTACTAATCTCAGCCAGGAGGTGGTGGTTGGGGAACACAGAATAGGGACAAAGGAAACGTTCTCTGATTGGCGGGATGTGACAAGTGGTATCCCCCAGGGATCTGTACTGGGACCGCAGCTATTCGCCATATAGATATAATTGATTTAGAAGAAGTAATGGGAAGTTTCATATCAGAATTTGTAGATGACATAAAGTTAGGCTCAGTAAATTGTGTAGATAGGAGCAGGAAGACAGAAAGGGACTTAGATCAATTAAGTGAGTGGGGAAAGTTGTGGCAGTTGGTATTTAATGTGGAGAATTGTGATCCAAAAATAGCAAAATGGATCCAAAAATAGCGAAAAACAAATATTTTCTAAATGTGGAGAATCAAGAAATTTGGATACACAAATCAGTAAAAACAAGCTCACACGTGCAAAATGTTATCGGAAAGGCTATTGGAATGTAGGCTTTTATCTCAAGGGGCTGGAATGTAAAGAAAAGGAAATAATGCTTTAACTGTAGAGAGCCTTGGTCAGAACCAGTCTGGAGACTGCGTTCAGTTTGGGGTACTCCCTCCAGAGCCAATATATCCTTCAAGCACCTCAGGAAGGATATATTGGCTCTGGAGGGGGTGCAACTCAGATTCACCAGAATGATACCAGGGCTTCAATGGTTGAATTATGAGGTAAGTTGCATAAGCTTGGTCTGTAGTCCCTTGAGTTCAGAAGGTTGAGGGGTGATCTGATTGAGGTTTTTAAAATAATAAAGTGATTTGATAGGGTAGCAACAGAGAAACTATTTCCTCTGATGTGGAATCCAGAACACGGAGGACGTCATCTTAAAATTAGAGCTGGGCCCATTTAGGAGGGAAATCGGGCAGTTTTTCATACAAAGGAAATCTGGCACTCTCTACCCCCTAACTCTTTGGATTATGGCTGGATCCATTCACATTGTCCAGACTGAGGTAGATAGATGTTTGCTAGGTCCAAGTATCAAGAGGTATGGGGCAAGAATCATAGAATCATACAGCATAAAAAGAGGCCATTTGGCCCATCGAGTCTATGCCGGCTTTTTGAGTAGAGCAATTAAAGTCAGTCCCACTCCCCAG